AACATTTTTTTTATGTCGGTGGTAAATTTTTGAAAAAAAAATTCGAGGAATTTCAATATTTACCCACATTAAAATATATAATAATGATGATTAGGACCCGTAATTAAATAATTAAATATTTTAAAAAATATCTTAAAAAGTGCCTTTTCAATATAATATATCTTTAAAAATAATCAACATTTTTTTTTTTTATAGGCATGTAAATTTGAAACAGTAGAAAAACTGTTATTTAATATTTGTCATTTTTTAAACTTTTTTATCTTGACTAATAGTAATATTTAAACAAAATACCAAATTATAGACTCTAATCTAATAATAAATAAATAATACTGTATACTGTAAATAAATGCAACCACGATGTATTTAAAATCAATTAATTACTTGTTATTTGTTAAGTCCTGGTTAAACACTATATTCAATAAACGTCAAAGATAGATAAAGACATTATTGAATTTATATAATGTAGAACGATAGAAAATTTGATATTGGGTATAAATAAAAATCTATACAAATTATTAAGCCAAATATTATAAAAATATTATTTATTGATGAAATATTTTGAATTTTCTAATTAATGCTAAAATCTTGTACAATTTATGAACTAAGAATTAGCAAAATTACCTGAAATTAATAAAATTAAATTAAAAAATAGAAAACTTTGATAAATATCAAATAAAATTTTCATCTTTAATGTTTTTATGTAATATAGAATGAATTATTTACTTACATTATCCTAGAGCATCAAAAACACTACATTGAATTCGGGACTTAATTATGATACATAATTAGGTACGTAGGTAACTGTAGCCCAGAATTCAAACACTATAAAGTATACAATACATTAAAAATCGTACTAGATGGTATACTATGGCCATTGATTCAAATGTATTTTGTTTTCATTTCAATGTTCAAAAAAAAAAAAAAAAACGATGAGATTTGATGTTTGTAAGACTATGAAATTATTACGTCTTCCAAACAACCCTTGTCCGTTGGCTTATTACACCGCCATTGTTATTGTAGCGGTATTAACGTACCATTTGATGCGCATATTGAACGTATATTGAAGGAAATAACTCTGCGGGTAGTGGAGACGTAGATAGATACTATGTCAGCGCAACTAGAGCGTGTGATAAATATTTATCTCGTGGCGTATTGTCGTGTATTGGCGGCGATTTGTAATGCAAACAACAATAACGTACCGTTTCAACAGCCATGGTTTAGCATATATTATTATCATCATCATCATAACTATTATTACGGAATTTTAACGGCCGTCGATTTTATTTACTGGTCCTATATCATATTCATGTATTCCTTTATTTATTACGTATGCGAACGGGTTATGCAGCGTTAATTTACCATGCGGCAGACGACGCACGATACTATATTACGTACCTAAACTATATAAGCTAGTTATTGTAATATATATATATATATATATATTTATTTATACGGTAAAAAATGTATCGATAATAAGCAAAATTAAAAAAACTAATTTTACGATTTCTGTGTACATATGATTTTATTTATTAAATTCCGTTCTTATCAAAACACGTTTTAGTTAAAAAGAATAATAGTACGTTCTGTTATGATAAATATATTACGAAATCTGAAACAAATTATAACTAATAAGGTATATTATTGTTTTTGGATCAATTAGTAGATTTATAAAACTATTAATATTTTTAAAAGTTTATTCAAATAAATGTATAAAATAAATTATTAAATTATTTTCGTTTAAATGCACCTTATCGCAAATAATAAATAATATGTTTCACAATCTTTTCAATTATTTTTAAATAAAATATAAATCAATTATAATTTCTATCCCTAATACTAATATTCATTTTTAATACGCATTCGAGCATTCTTATGCTTATTACGCTGCTCACACAAATGTTGTAAGATTGTAAAAATAATGTAAGGATAAGAGATTTTCAACATAAAAATTGAATAATGAAATACTTTTGTGTGATAAAAAAAAAAAAATCTTAAGGATATAAAAAAATATTTGATATTGTAGTAATTTTAAATATTATGAAAACGAATATCTTCAAATTTTAATTACCGTAGGTATATCTTAATAGCATAGACACTTTGTAAATACCCCTTAAAACTGATATTTTATTTCGTTAAAAATTGACAATAATATATGTTATGTATGAATAGAATAATTTTATTGGAATATATAGTATTCTTGTTTTAATTTCTTGTTTCTCAATGTCATAAATTTTATAATTTTATAGACATTTTATACTATAGTTACTATAGTTATAGGACACTCCTTATTATATTTTATTTAATTAAAATTTACAAAGTTTTTGGATTAATTTTAACCAACTATATGAATTATTATAAGCCAATATCATTTTATTAGAAACTACTATATATTATTGAAATATTGAATTACTTTGTAGTTCTTACTCCCTATAAAGGTTGTTATGCATTCTCATGTTTTCATTTAATAATTTATTTATTCAATTAAAGTTTTTATAATTTTTGAATGTATTTAAAAACCATATTTTCAAACTCTTAATTTTTTTAAATATGGTGTTTAAATATACTTTAAAATTTCAAACATCAGGTATTGAATAATTGCATTATTGAAGAAAGGGGCGTGAACATGGTTGTTGAAGCATCTTATAAACGAGTTAGTGTTATTTATTATTTTAAACTTAATGCTTATAACTTAAAAATTCTATTTGTATAACTATACTATACACTTGTTAACTTGCTAGTGTAGAATAGAAATATTTGAATAGATAATAGAACTGTTTTTACTTATATGTTCTATTAGAATTCGACAGACAATGAAAATTTCGAAAAACAGATACATTTTTAATTTTATGTCAAAAAATAAATTTATATTTTTCAATTTGTTGGTACATTACAAGTATTGTAGGGTAGGCTATACTGTTTAATCAGTTTCCTCTATATTTTTTACAAGATTATAATAAAAATAATGACCTATTCTTCGTGTAGATTGTACATTTAGATTTTAAACCAATTGATAGGAATTTATTTATCTAACACTGATGTTTTATTTTTCCAAGGATAATTTAAAGGGTTAAAGCTAAAAAAATACTTCTAAATCATAATCACTGTTATTCAATTAAATGAAAATTAAACCTTCAAAGTTTTCTAATGTTCGCACACGAAGTTTTGACAGTTTTTACATAGCTTTATTTGAACGTAAAAACTATATATTATACAGTTTATACGTAAAATAGCTGTAGTGATTAAAATTAAACTCAAATAATAATGTATTCATTGAATAATCATAATTAATTGAAAATATTGTATTATATATTTACGAGTATGTATAATTTTTACTTATGTTTAAAAACTAAAAATACTATTTAGTTTTATAATTTTATTCATATAAAATTAATAATAATTTAGAATATTATAATATTATATTTTTGATTTCAAATCGTATAGTTGTATACGAATTGAAAACGCAAGTGCCAATTATAATTTATAATATACACGTGTTTGTACTATTTGATATTCATTTGTTATAAATATTAATTTTATTATATTACATAACATGTATATTTATTCTGTAATATACCATAGAAATAAATGATTGAAATTAAAAAAAAAAAAAAAAGAATTTTAAATTATCAACTATAAGTTTAAATATCCCAATTCGGTAGATGATACAATTTAGTTTGCTTGTTTTGGTTAAATAATCAATTGGTATATTATTATGTTTATACAGCGTAGAACACGAATGTCTATAAAATTAACAAAACTAATAATTCTATTGTTGATTCAAAATGTTATGCACATATAATATATATATTTATTAGTATTTTTTTTTCAATATACTCTTATATTATTACATGAATTGATAGTCAAACAAAATGACAACAATATAAATCATAACTCAATAACTAGGTATACAAATGATTTATCTTTTAAAGGCATACTTATCTGATTCTTTTCTATAACAAAGCTCAAGAAAAAATAAATATTTGTTGAAAGCTATCTCCCATTTCACTCTTCCAGTTACACGATTATAATATTTTTCCAACGATATTTTTCTGATTAAATATTAAAATTGTATTGTTTTCCCTTTGGAATTCCCTAGTCACGCGTTCGTTTTTGTATTTATCATTTCATTTTTACAATTTGACGAGAAAATTCATCATTTTTTACGTGTAGAAAGACTCTAAGGAATCACGGTTTCCCAAAGGCAAGTGTTATATCGTTAATTTTTTTCAGTTTCCAAAGGATGTGTTTTTCAGAACTTGTCCTTTGCTTGCTATTGCCTAGTCCCTTCTCACCACTATCTTATCCATTCGCATTATTTTTACAAGCTTATCCATCGTGTGTAAAAGTTTGGGTTATTTCGCGTAAATCGCATTTACGACCGAATGTTTCGGACAATGTCCCGTGGGTTAAGTTGTTAAGCTTCCTGCTCCACTAGCGTGTTCCCTTGGCAATTCCTCGGGGACAATATCCCGAATTCCATTCCAGTTGACTGACCATATGGGAAATTGTTGTGGATAGCATAAAAATCCAGTTTAATCGAAGGCGCTTGAAAAAAAATGGTTCCATTAAAATAATCGTCGAATGAATACATTTGATCTCAAACTAAACAATATTGTATACAATATGCAAAACGAAGACCTTTGTAGAGTGGTACTAATAAACATTATCTCAAATTAAAATGCTAAGGGCAAAAAATGTCCTATATAATGGGTGTATTTAATATCCTTAAAAGGCTCATTGAAATTCCTCTATAAGTTCAGTGAATAAAGAAATTAATCATTTGAGGGACTCGACAGCATAAAAATATAACAAATAATTTTTATAATCTGTCAAAAGTCTTCTGGTTATTTATTTTTTCGATTGAAATACATGATAAAATTGTTTAATTAATATTTTTACGATTGTTCCTTACTAAATATATTTTAAAATTTGTTTTCATTATTGTATTAACTCAAAAGTAAAGTATTATAAAAGTTTAATTTTTAATTTTTTACTTGTAGATCTATTTGACAAGAGTTAATAAGAAAAAAACCCAACATGGGCTGTTTTTGTACTAGCGCCCGAACACACCACTGCAAAATTGTATTCCTCGACGATCAAGAACTTGTGCACGAAGTTCAGGTAAGAAAAAATATATGTAATTAATTAAAGTTATCGAGTATTTATTATTATTACATAGTATAATTATATGATTATGATATAAAATATTTAGGCACATTGATTTGGGGACAGTAAATGTTAAAAAATTGTAATTAACAAACCATTTAATATGTCGTTAATACGTTCTAATATTATTGTTAAAAGGTTTTTAAAAATTAACTAAATATATTATGTCACTGGTAATATAATATAATATTATATTTTTCAAGTTTATTTTATACTTGTATACTTTTGTTTAAGAGTATAGTTTGTTACGGTATAGTTAAGATAATTAAAATAATTAGTTTAAAGTTATACTATAACAAAATAAAAAAAATAGTATAAACTAACATAAATAATTTAAATTGCTTTCTCAATTACTAAAATATTTTAAGTATATATATAAAATATAAATACAATTTACTTTTTATAAATAATGTATAACATAATAATTTTCGTTAACAAATACATACTGATTTTGATATTCATAACATTTAAAAACTCATCTTAATACAATGAATTTCTTAAGAGTATAGAAAATAATAAGTAATAAATAATTAGTGAGTTAACTACTGTGCTTTTATTAAACGTTTTCATATTATTATTTATAGACGTATTTTGTAAAATCAGTAGGGGTGTTAATTAAAAATAAGCATTGCAAGTGAAAAGAATTAAGAAAAAATTTTTAATTTTTAATTTCTCTCCAATAATATATTTTTAATTTAATTTTGAGTTAAGAATAACTTTTTATTTTAAAAAATAAATAAATAATTTTTATACGGATAATATAATTATTGTATGTTTATTAGGTAACATATTTTCATTTTCTCAAATTAATTTTGTAGTTAAATAATAATTTTATCAAAACTAACTTATTTTATGTTAGAAATAATAGTAAAGTGTCCTTGCTATAACTATATAATTAAAAATTATTCATTCTATAGTTTTTTTTTTATACATTTATCATTTATATGATTTTATTATATTAGTAAATAATTATTATAGTTATTTATTTCGACATTTCAATGTTTCTTGTACTCAAATTATCTTTAAATTTGTTACATTTATAGCTTCTGAAGCTCATAAACTTTATACTATGGCTTTGCATCTAGTGTTAATTTTTTCTTAACATTTTTGGTTTGATTTCCAATCATCTCAGAATAATACATTTTAATAAATAATAATTTATCGTATAGTATGTACAAGGCAATTAAATATCAGCTGCAGGCAGATTAACCAAACGAAACTTCACAATACTTTTCTCATATTCTCACGATCCAATTAAGTTTAAATTTGCGTTGTTGTATAATGAAATGGTAAATGATTAATTAAAAAACATCAATGAAAGTTTATATTTCCCAAGAGATTTTTTTCTCTTGCTATATTATGTTATGCAAGTTTTTAACGCTAAGGTCATGTTCATATATTTTCTTTATCTTTTTGTTCCCCATTCCTTCTTATCACTTCAAGTATTACTTGAAATATATATATATAATATATATTAGGCTAAAATGAGTGTTATGCATTTAGATCTATAGTAATAAAATAAGTATGTATCTAATAAAATAAGCCTAAGTTTATCAATAAGATACTAAAATTCTAAAATATGACAATATAATATATTTTATTTTTGTAATGTTACATTTTTTATACATCTAGTAGTAGTTCTTTCTGGTTTAAATAAATATGGATAGGTAAAAACAAGTAGATTAGATTATATAGGCGTGGATGATGAGGTTAACCGTCTTCTATTATAATTAAGCAGCAGCAATAAAAATTACTTCATGAATGTTAAAACAATCTCTATCAATTCAATTTTATTTAATTCTAATCGTCTCTGAATTTTGATTTTAGATTCCTCCTTTTTTGTCTTTATCTTATGAATTTTAACCTAACACATTTTATGTTAAATAAATTCATTTAATGAATTATTTAAATTCATTAATACTACAGTTAAAATATAATAATTAATGACTATATTTTATTTTAGATGTCTATTCTAAACTAGTGTTACAACTTACATCTAGTATGTGACTGTGTTAGTTGTTTTTTTATTGTCTATTCATTCTTAAACCATATAATTGTTGAATTGTGTTCACGCATAATATGTTGAATATGGTTGAATTTATAATTGAATAATGCATATCATATTTTTATTTTGAATGGTAATCATTGTAACAAAAATAAAAAAAATGGTCTTTATTGTTTTAGGATGCAGATACGTATATATTAAAATAATAATAGGTTTGACATGTCTTGAAAATATTTTTGTTAAAAATAACAAAATAATATTTTAAGTATATAAGGTTCTGCTTCTTAATAAAGTTTGGTTTTGTAGAATTCAATATAATCTAATATATTTAATTATTATTCAAAAATAAATTCATATAAATATCATAATAGTAATACCAGTGGTGTATTATTGATTTTTTTGAGCAAGGAAATATAACTTAAGTTGTTGATACAATCCCAACACTTAATTAGTAAACAATAAAGTGATAAATGGAAGAAAAAAACAACTATAATCATTATATAAATATAAGCTAAAAAAAGGAATTACGAGAATAGATGTATAATATCTCCCTAATCTCCCTCTGTAAATATACTATTGAGTATTATGCATAGACTTACATAAATTTATTTTACCGGTAGAAGAAATAATCTTGGTATTTGATATTATAGAATTACGATTTACGAACAATGCATTTATTTTTAATATTTTCAATATATTTTTGAATGATAGATCTTAGAAAAACAACTTTTAAACATTATGATATTATCATTAAAAAATGACAACTCAATTATTTTTTATAAATAAAAATATGAAAATTTTCATTTTTTTAAGATGAAAATAATTATTAGTTATAAAGAAAACATTTTTTTCTATTCACGTGGTCGTGTAATGTACATATTTAAGTATTTAACTAAGCTACTATACTTATTAGTTATTATAATATAGTGTATATAATTTATATCGTTTTTGTTTTTCGTCTTTTGATAATAATATGAGGCTTGCGAGAAGTTTAAATTAAAGTAATGAACTATTGTAAAATTTGTAACATCAGTAGTGGCTACTATCAAAACACATTTTACACCTCTAAAATTCGTTCTTTTGTGACATAAAGGCGACGACGGAAAGGAAATGTTATCAGTTATCACGAATCATGACAGGCCACCAGAGGGTGAATTTTACGTTACAGATATAATAAATAATTAAATTATTATGCCTTTGTAATATTTTATTTTTATTTTCTACTGTCTTTTTTTTCATGTAATATCATGCCACTGTAGTCATGTTTTGTGCTACTAAGTAAATGCATAAGTAGTAGGTATACAGCGACAAAACCGCGAAATTCTTTAATCTATTTCTCTCTATATACTTTGATTACTTTGTATATGACCGTACAAAATGTATTGAACTTTTTTACAGCAAATAATTATCATATTCAAAAGTTGTTTTAAATTATTATAATTTATCGTTATCATTCCTAAACGTTAATAATTATTTAAATGTGCGCAAATACAGTTTAAGTTTTGATAGCTCATGATCATTGATAATTTTTAACAGTTATGTTGATATTGGTTCAAATTTTTATAGTAATATCTTATGTTATATATTATAATATAACATTGTGAATAGGTGTGTCGTATAAATAGCTTAATATTAATGTAGGTATATATTTTTAAAACAAAATTGTATTATGTATAGTAAATGATTATAATCGTATAGTGGTAAGAGTTTTAAGAGTCTAAAAGTTGTATGTTTTAAATTAGCTGAAATTGTTCTTTTTTTGAAATTCCAATTTTTTCTAAGTTGAAATATCTATAAATAATGTTCATAATATGTATTTTTGATATTTTTTAATTGATTTTTTAATTTAAATATTTGAATCTTGTAATCAATTATTATACATTTTTGTTGATCGTAACAATTTTAATCAACATCCGTAGAAAAAAAATTGAAAAAATTTGAAATTTTCAAATTCTTATAAATATTAAAATATTTGGTTAAATATTTCAAAAATAAATTTTATTGTTTATGGAAAATGATAATTTAAATAAACTTAAATACATTTTTAAAGTTTCTATGACTAATAGGTATTTGAATTACAAAAATGTATGATGATTATATTTCATTACATTTTTAAACGTTGTGTTGAAATCTAATTTTTTATGATTTTTTAATCACAAATTTATTTACAAATTTTCGTGATTTTGTCTAATTTTATGAAAACTAAAATATTTATTTATCAAAGTACGTTTAAAATATTTTTTATAAAATGTCTAGAAAAAACTAGTATAAATATTTGGTTAAAAACTCAAGTCTTTTGCATTTATTAATTTATAATTTTTTTTGTTTTCCAAATTATTTTGTAAAGTACTGCGATTTTTTTTACTATTCTAACAGTACTAAACTACAGGATATAAGTTGCTACCAGAAACCACTCTCGTAGTTTAAGATTGAAACATTTTTTATAGTATAAAAAATTTTTTTAGAATCATAAAAAATATCATTGAAAAATGTAAACATTCATTGCTCCGCTCAGAATCTAAAATTATTTAGAACATCTAAATTGATTAAAATTTAAAATACATCAAAGTGTCATTTAATTATGTCTAAATCTATAAAAAAATATATTTAATCTATTTATATTCACTTGAATATTCTGAAATAATTATTTTACTAACAGTCATTATTATAATTTTTAGTTAAACCTTTAATTTCACAGTTTTAATTCAAAATTGTTTATACGTTTAAGACTATAATATTACATATTTTATAGGTAACATACATTAACTATTATTGTATTAAGTCTTTAATATACTGGCTATCAATTTATTATCAAATTTAATACGCTGTTGTAAATATATAAATATATAATAATTAATTTACTAATGACATTTTATTTCATTATTTTTTATTAATATACTATAGTTTATAGTTATTACTTATTAATCTTTCGGGTTGATATCATAATACT